GCGGTGCACAGAAGTGCAGTGTGTGTGCTTGCCGCGCGTCTACATTTGAAATAACGAACTTGAGCGTGCAAAAGACGGGGTGTGAACGGCTATGTCATGTGCGGGGCTCCGTTTTTATGATGAGAGGAGAGAAAAGGTTGAGAAAACACTCCAGCTAAATTTTGAAATGTACCAGATTTATATATATATAAATATATATATATATATAGCCTATATAAAGTTGATAAGCAGTTAAATGTGTTGGTTTACACACAAAGAAATGTGTAAATCCAAGAATAAAATTATTAATTTACTTAACATGTTAAATTTGTTTTACAGAACTTTTTGTGCTGTTTTCAATCAGTTTGGACTTGAATAAAGAGAAAAAACTTAACCTTTTCACAGGCATTTTGTTTTCATAATTAGACAGATATCGGGATGTATCGTTGTAGGATTGTCTAGCAATATATTGATTATCGCAGAATCGCTGTATTCATGATATTATCATAGCGTGAGCCATGTATCATGATTCGTATCGTATCGTGAGGTACCCTGCGATTCCCACCCCTACTACGGAGCGGTTTTCAAGGCTTAGTGTATCCCATCATGCATCATGTTCTGGAAATAAATCGTGAGACTTTTTGCCGAGATCTCGCGAGAGGTCACGGAAACCTTTCCAATGTATGTTAAATATTAACTGGATGAGTAAAGTTTGATGTCAAACTTTAAAGTTGGCTTGAAAAAGCCAGGCCAGAAAGTTGAAAGCATTGTAATAGCTTTAAGTAGTTCTACAGTTTAAAGTTTTAATGTTTTGAAGGAAATGTAAGATAGATAGATGGATAGATAAACTGACAGATTAAAATGAACTTACACCGCTATACATTTTTGAGTTTGGAAATGTTTTGCCTGCTTAACCGCTGAAATGTCTTTGAATGTATTTTTTTCTTAATGCACTACAATATGCTTATGTCTAGCCTGTTGCTAGCATGTTTCTAGCAAGATTAGCATGTTACTAGCATGTTGTTAACATGACTAGCAAGTTAGTAGGATGTTACTAGGATGGTTAACAAGTTACTATCATGATTCTAACATTATTAGCATGTTACTAGCATAATTCTAGCATGATTAACACGTTACTAGCATGGTTCGCAAGTTAACAGCATGATTCAAGCATTTTTAGCATGTTACTAACGTGTTGCTAGCATGTTTCTAACATGATTAACATGTTTATAACATGATTAGCCTGTTACTAGCATGGTTAGCATGATTCTAACATGATTAACGTGTTATTAGCATGTTGTTAGCATTATTAGCAAGTTACTAGCATGTTGCTAGCATACTTCTATCATGTTTAACAAGTTTGCTAACATGTTTCTAGCATGATTTGCATGTTACTAGCATGTTGTTAGCATGATTAGCAAGTTACTAGCATGCTGCTATCATGATTAGCAAAGTTACTAGCATGTTGCTAGCATGATTCTAGCATGATTAGCATGTTACTAGCATGATTCTAACCTGTTACTAGCATGATTCTAGCATGATTAGCATTTTACTAGAATGATGCTAGCATATTTCTAGCATGTTTAACAAGTTGCTAACATTTTTCTAGCATGATTAGCACGTTACTAGCATGGTGTTAACATTTTGTTATCATGATTAGCAAGTTACTAGCACGTTTCTAGCATGATTAGCATGTTATTAACGTTGTTAACATGTTGAGCATGTTGATAGCACATTTCTAGCATGATTAGCATGTTGTTAGCATGATTATCAAGTTACTAGCACTTTGTTAACATTTTTCTAACATGATTATCAAGTTACTAGCATGTTTCTATGCTAATCCAGCTAAAACCAGTTGATTCAGTAAAAAAACAGCTATAAGCCAGCTAAGACCAGCCTGACCTACTAAAAATGTGTCCAAAACCACTTTAAAACCAGCTTGGGAAACCAGCCAAAACAGCCAATCAGCTTAGGCTGGTTTTAGCTGTTTTTTTCAGTTTTTTTTCACCCCCCTCAATGAAAGTCTATGGGATTTTAGGTGGTTTTGATAGTCTGGTTTACGGATCAGTTAGAAAACATATAGCACACCGGGTCTGGGTCAAGTTTGGTGGTTCTAGCTTGAAAGCTCTAGGAGGAGATAGGTGTCGAAATTTGGCTCAGGAGAATAATAATAAGAAGTTTAAATAGTAGATCAGTAAGTTGGCTTTCTCAAGCCAGCTTAATAATAATTAGATATTACATATAATTTGGTAGTAAAACAGAGTTGCATGTTTTATTGGTGCAAATGAGTAGTGGTGATATTTATTTTGTACAACATTTAGGAGTTGATTTTAAAATGCAAAGTACTGAAAATAAAAATAAAGCTCAGTAAACACTTGCATTTTTAAAACACTAAGTGTGTCCCATCAGGCAATGAAAAGTTCTACACACACTTGTGGTCTTCATGCTCACTTGAACACTTGGACCAAATACAGGAAATATGTCATAAGTTGTCAAGTGGTCAAGTGCAAAGACTGCAAGTGCTGGTATTTGTACTAGGGCAAAGTCTGCACAAATTTCCAGCACTTTCTTCTATCCTGTGATGTATAAACATGAGTCTCACCAGTGACGGATGGTGTATTCGTGAAGTACAGCACACCGCAGTAATACTGATCCTTCGGAATAAGCCTGCAGATCCAGAGAGAAAGACATGAGGAATATACTGGAAAAACCTCAAATATGACATTTGCCACAAGGACATACTATGCTAAAACTCTGACACTTTCATCTACAGATGGCAGGAATCATTGTGGATTCTAGATTTTAGCTTAGTTAAGTTAGGTTTCAGATTAGTAAATTGTATAATTTACATTTTGGTGCATTTAAAAATGTAATCTATTTTAAATTGTTGGTTTATTTAGTACTGCGTTTCATTCAAAATAATTCAGTGTTTTTAATGACATCTGCTTTTAAGAACCCATAATAATGCTGAATCTTCAAAAAAACAATAAAATAATGTTCATAGTACATAATGTCAATTTTTAACATTCTACGAAGTCTTCAAATTAAACTGGATGCAAGATATGAATAAAACAACTGACAGTCACATCAAAATGTCCCAAATAGCGTCTGTTAAGAAGATCGTTAGTTAAGAAGAAGATTTTTTTATTTATTTCAGCTAGTTGCCAAGGCAACATTTCTCATTTTTGTTTAGTTTAACTTTAAGAAATAAAATAAACACCTACATAGACATTTTTAAAAAATCTAAAATTAATAATAATAATTTTTTTACAAAAAAACACAACAATGACTGAAACCTTAACTAAAAATAAAATGAAAAATATAAAAATAAAAACAAATTATTTACGAATTATTTATCTAGAATATTAATAGTATATAAATTATACTAAACACTAGAAAAGATAGTGAACTGGGTGCAACAATCACATCAAATGCACAAATAATCAGTATGAACCTGATGTCAATACGGCGGGGAAAATACTCTTCTTCATCTTCCTCTTCTTTCTTCAGCCGACACACACCCTGAGGAAAAATATGACATTATTCATTTATTATTATTTGACAGTCACATTGACCCACCATAAACTTAGTGTCTCCTTTAGAAAGCGTGTCAGTAATGAAGCCGATGGACTCCAGATGATCCACGACAGCATGAAGGAGTTTGGGCTGCAGGACAGAAATCACAGCAGGAGTTATGAGAGGACAAAAACCTGCATGCATTAAATCATTCAGTCTTTAAAACTGACCGTTCACCTGTTTCTCAGACTGAGAGGTGAAGTCCGGATGGGTCAGCAGTATATCAATATCACCACTCGACTCTGCTCCTGAACATTAACAAATGCAATCATGGCACATTTAGATGATACAAGTGATAAGTGATGTCAAATATCTGGATCAGAACGATCGATAACCTCGTCTGTAGCTGCCGCAGATGGTGCCGATGTACTCGGGATCCACCACATCCAGTTCCTTCAGTATCAGAGTCTGCAAACATCAGTTAAACACAGTGAGACTTTATAAATCTGTAGAATTAATTAATGAAGATCACTAAGAGGAACTGCAACCTCCATTTTCTGCATTTGTGCACGAGGGATTCTCTTCTCAAATTCTTCAAAGTACCTTTAATAGATGAAGACAGGAGCATAAAAATAGAAATTAAAAACAGATCAATAAAGAACAGAATGCATTCATTATAAACACATATAACTCACAAATCAAACATTTGTCCTCTAGATCAGGGGTTTTCAAGCTGGAGTCCAAGGAAAATATTAGAGAAAAATGTAAAAATATATAAACACTTTAAAAAAAAAAAAAAAGGTTTACCCAACTAAATAAATAAATATTTAGATTAAAATATATTTAAAATTAGTTTTAAAAATGACTAAAGTAATTAATTTGATACAAATGGATTTGAGACTTTAGTCTTTGCAACTTTACAGATCTTCTTTATGCACCAAGAGCTTGTAACACTCCAAAGAGAAAAGAAAACTTGAAATCGCATCATATGACCCCTTTAAAATAAAAATTATATAAATACATAATAAATTATTTAAATAAAAAAAAATACAGTACTATAGTAAATAGAACAAATTTAACATAATAGAAACTAAATGCGTTTTAAATAACATTTTACACAAATTTATAATATACATTTTTTCACAGTCTTTATGCATAATAAAGCTGCCATTTAAATTTTAGGATGGGGGTCCCTTGCACAAGGATGTTTATATTTAGGAGGCCATTGCATCTAAAAGATTGAAAACCCCTGTTCTGGATCAGCACTAACACAAAGCCGAACGAACATTACTGTTGCTGTTAAACAATTCACTAATTAATCTGTTTAAATCAAGACTTACTTTAACCCGATCTGCTGATGGTGGTTGAGTTTGTGTTCGATCTTCTTCAGATCTAAAACGTCAGATGAGAATTAAAACACATGAATGTGAAGGTAAATAAATATATATGCAAAATAACCATATACAAACCTTCTAAGTTCCTGACGCCTTCATCATAAAACTTCCTGGCCGCAGCAGGACTAAAAGACAGAGAATGAGGGTGAATGGAGTTTTAGTCATCTCTAATTTTACTCTGATTGTTCAATAAAGAGCGTGGTACCCGATTCCAGTCACTCTGGTTAAGAAGTTGATGGAGGAGCTTGTGTCGTCACTGCGAATCTACAGGATGAACGGACCACAAACATGGCAGAATCTATACAGATCTGTTTCGAATATACAACATATGATTTCAAATCACCTATAAAGCATGCATTTCTACCTTCTCCAGCTTGCGCAGTTTTCCTGTCGTTAAAAACTCACTGATTTTCTCTGCTATCTTTGCACCAACTCCATCCTGAGAGGAAAACCGTGTACTTAAATATGTCAACAAACAAGTATTACTCGCATTTCAGGACATTAATACTAGTAAAAACAACAAACCTGTACCAGTTTCTTTGCTTCGGCCCCACTTTTGATCTTCTGAGGGTATTTGGCAATCACAGATGCTGCTTTTCTGAACAGAAAACACCAGACAAGTTACATATGCCATATGTCTAATTATAGTATAATTTCTTACCTTATTAGACACTTTAGATAAGACTGTCTTGCCTGTAAGCATTGTATTTATGGATGGCTCTGTTGACATTTCTCTCATAATTGGCCAACTCTGAAACACCATTAAGACTAAGAGTTTAGATATGCCTCAGTGCATTAGCTGCAAAATATTACTATAAAATGCTTTTCGACATTTATCGAATAAACAAACTAATTAAGAGAATCGGATCATAGCTGGGCTACCAAACAATATGTACTAAACGTAAACATATATAAAAATATCTAGTATATAATAATTTTCAAATATGCATTATTTTATTTATAATTGAAAATATAAACACTGAGTACTTTTATTTTGTAGGTGCAACTGTGCCCTGATAGCATGTATTAAACTGCAAAAAATGGTGATTATTGCGGTTTTATTTACAATTGGGTGTAAAGATAGGTCTAATATCCCACTAAAGTGAAGTTTCTTGTTTCAAACAGACGTTATGTCTACAAAACCGATGTATTTCGATTCATTTGGTTATTTAAATGTCCGGTTAGCCTAGCCGCATGCTAACCTGAGCGGTCATTAGCAAAGCTCACCTATGAGAAAATCTGTGATTCCTTCGTTCAGAGTTTCCTGTGGCGCTTTCCTTTTACTCATAGTTGAGAGTGATTTAAAATACGTGAGGATAAATGTGTGGTGTTCTCACTTTCTACCATCCAAGAGACAACAGCTGAATACACTACAAGACAAAGCCTTAGCATTAGCACTGTAGCCACGCAATACGGCGGAGGCGGGGCTTAGAGACCACGCCCAGTATGCTTACGTTAGCCAATCAGGGACTTTCATTTCATAAATACGAACACGCCCCGTCATTGATAAATACACTCACCATAAAATGAACTTTTGGAAACTCAGATTAATTTCTTAATGTTACGTAAACATATGGATTTTTTCATAAAGAAAGATGCCACTTTTCAAGCAAAATATCTAATCACGGTATTAAATGATCAAACAACAGATCTGAACTAATTTCATACACTGAAATTCATACACTAATTTCAATAATTTCATACACTGCCACACCAGCTGATCAAATGACAATAAGCTAAATTGTTTTTACTTTTATATGCCACAATAATGCAATGCTTTTAGGTGTGTTGCAAACATATTTTTGGGCCACTTTATGGAACTTAATTAACATGATAAAACAAACACTGTGAATTTATTTTTCTGATGTACAAAAATAGTTGCTATAAACTGAGTTTTTGTGGTTGGTGCAGATATTTGCGAGTGTGTGAAGAGCTGATCAAAGCAGCACAGCTTGTGTAATGTTATCTGACATTTAAAACGAGCACCACTTTTTAGTACTGCAATACTACAATTCATTTCAATGACACATCAAAACTATTGAACATAAAGATTTGCTAATACCATGCTAAATGACAGCATTATGATTCATTTGAAGGTCAGCACCTTGGCATAGCAGACAATTGTTACTGTACATGGCAGCAGAAATACTTTCTAGAAAATCTAGAAGTACAAATTCCCTAATTTACAGACAATTCTGAACTTTTAAACAAATCCACCAAATACTATAGGAACCCATTTCTGCTACATAAGAAAAAACATACTTTGGTAAATCATAATTATGACATGAAATTTCATAATTATAAAATAAAAAGTCATAATACTGAGATAAAGTCAAAAGTGTGACACGCTAAGTCATAATTGTGAGATAAAAGTCAATTATGAGATAAAGACATAATTATGAGAAGCTGAAATTGTGACAAAAAGTCAAAATTATAATAAAAATGTCAACTTATGTCATTATTTAGAATTTTATCTCATAATTATGACTCAGTGTGTCATAATTTAGACCTTTTTCTCATCAATTTGACTTTTCATCTCATAATTATGACTTTTTAATCTCATGATTATGGCTGTTTAATAACCAAAGCATGACTACAGAATATAATTAGCAAAAAATAAATCAATGATTACGTAAACATATGGATTTTTTCATAAAGAAAGATGCCACTTTTCAAGCAAAATATCTAATCAAGGTATTAAATTATGAAATGATTAAATGATGGATATGCTGACCATATCCATCATTATAAAGAAGCATTGTCCAAAGCAAAATCGGACTACTATTCTAATATAATTGGAGCTAGCGAAGGGAACTCTAGATTTCTTTTTTCTGTAGTGAAGAATTTTCTGTATCCATCTGACACTCTGCCGTTAATTGTCAAAATTACTAATGATTTGTTATTGGCAGCTGATTCTGGTTTGTTAACAATACTTGTCCTTCTTGACCTGAGTGCGGCCTTTGACACGATCTCGCACAAGATACTCCTGGACAGGTTAGTTTCAATAGGGATTACTGGCACCCCACTTTCCTGGTTTAGGTCTTATCTTATCGGTCGCACTCAGTATGTTCAAATTAAACATTTTAAATCAAGACCATCTGCAGTTACTACTGGTGTCCCTCAGGGTTCTGTTTTGGGCCCACTCTTACTCATCATCTATTTACTTCCTCTTGGCTCCACCAAATACTATAGGAACCCATTTCTGCTACATAAGAAAAAACATACTTTGGTAAATCATAATTATGACATGAAATTTCATAATTATAAAATAAAAAGTCATAATACTGAGATAAAGTCAAAAGTGTGACACGCTAAGTCATAATTGTGAGATAAAAGTCAATTATGAGATAAAGACATAATTATGAGAAGCTGAAATTGTGACAAAAAGTCAAAATTATAATAAAAATGTCAACTTATGTCATTATTTTGAATTTTATCTCATAATTATGACTCAGTGTGTCATAATTTAGACCTTTTTCTCATCAATTTGACTTCATCTCATAATTATGACTTTTTAATCTCATGATTATGGCTGTTTAATCTCATAATTATCTAACCAAAGCACGACTACAGAATACAATTAGCAAAAAATAAATCAATGATCTCTGCCACTAATATGCGTCATATTTAGTCACAAATCTCTTTATAGTGTCAAGCGTTCAAATGCAGTGAACTCAGGAAATGAAAAAGCATCTGCTGCTAACTAATAAATACATAAATACAGAAGAAACAGCCTGATATGAATGTGGTGTTTAAGAGTCGACTTTCACATAGACTTTGTCCCGTGAGAAGATTTTGACGGCCTCCTCGACCTCCGAGAGACGCTGGTCGAGTTGAGCGCGTCGAGAGCGGACGCTCAGTGTGTCGGCTTTGATGGGGAGAGACAGCAGCTCACTGACCAGAGACCTGTGAGCTATAGACACACACAGAAATCAATCAACCCTCTCACAAACTAAAGGTGAAAACAGACACTGCTAATGAAGACGTACTTTCTTTGAGGGACCTCAGGGTCTCTTGTCTCTCTCTTTCAGACATCTGAGTGTGTCCAGCAGGAATGGACGGATCAGGAGTGTTTCTCCTCCTCTCCTCCTCCTCCTTTTTCCACTGCAACTTCCTCTGCTCCAGACTGATGAACCAAATGAGAGATGGTCAGTGTTTAGTCCAAAATGATGCACTGATGCAGTATGCAGAATACATGGGAAGCAACAGAAATGGGAAGAAGTGTAAAACAGTGCAAATTCTATTTTGCATTAAGAAAATGTACTGCCTTTATACTGATTTTAATAAACAAATATTCAAAATGCATTATTACTACAGTAATGACAGTAATGAGAATAAAAAAAACAAAAAACTTCAAGATTATATACTAACATTCAAAAGTTTGGGGTCCGTAAGAAAGAAAAAAAATACTTTTATTCAGCAAGGACGCATTAAATTGATCAAAAGTGACATTAAAGACATTTGTAATGTTACAAAAGATTTCTGTTTCAAATAAATGCTGTTCTTTTGAACTTTCTGTTCATCATAGAATCCTTTGTATCCTGGTTTCCACAAAAATATTCAGCAGTGGTGTTGGTGTGCTTGACTGGCCAGCAAACTCACCAGACCTGAACCCCATAGAGAATCTATGGGGTATTGTCAAGAGGAAAATGAGAAACAAGAGACCAAAAAATGCAGATGAGCTGAAGGCCACTGTCAAAGAAACCTGGGCTTCCATACCACCTCAGTAGTGCCACAAACTGATCACCTCCATGCTACGCCGAATTGAGGCAGTAATTAAAGCAGAAGGAGACCCTACCAAGTTATTGAGTACATGTACAGTAAATGAGCATACTTTCCAGAAGGCCAACAATTCATTAAAAATGTTTTTTTTTATTGGTCTTATGGAGTATTCTAATTTGTTGAGATAGTGAGTTGGTGGGTTTTTGTTAAATGTGAGCCAAAATCATCACAATTAAAAGAACCAAAGACTTAAACTACTTCAGTCTGTGTGCATTGAATTTATTTAATACACGAGTTTCACAATTTGAGTTGAATTACTGAAATAAATGAACTTTTCCACGACATTCTAATTTATTGAGATGCACCTGTATTACAATAGAAAACAGTTTTTTAAATTGTAATAATATTTCACTGTTTTTACTGTAGTTTTGATCGAATAAATGCAGCCTTTGTGAGCAATAGAGACTTCTTTTAAAATCACTGCAAAATCCCACAGATCCCATTGTTAGTTTAAATCAATGACTCACTATTGTGGCACTTTGCCCTTCACGGCGCTGGGTGGTGGTTTGTCTCGGAGGTTCTGTAAGGACTGAGATCGCCTCAGGTTCGTCTTCCCCGCGGCACGAGCGTTATGACTCACAAAGTCCACCGTGTGTCCTCTCACATGCATCTATACACACATAAACACCTCACAATGAGAGAGACGCTACTCTTACGAAAGACAGAGGACTAATGTCTATTTTAGTATGTATAAGTATATTACACACCTCAGAATCCGAGTCTCCTGCAGCTGGTGGCGGCACGCTCTCTGAGCGGCAGAGCAGCGGTCGACCTCCAGTGCCACACAGAGAGTGAGCCTTCAGGAAGTTCTGACATTCGGGTTTCTTAGGAGGGCTCGTCTCCTACACAGAGACAGAGGTTTAAATCCCTTGTTTTAGTGCAATTGTTGATTGACAGGTAAGTAGGCGGTGCTTCACTATTGTTGATTGACAGGTAAGTAGGTGGTGCTTCACTATTGTTGACTGACTGGTAAGTAGGCGGTGCTTCACTATTGTTGACTGACAGGTAAGTAGGCGGCGCTTCACTATTGTTGATTGACAAGAAAGTAGGCGGCACTTCACTATTGTTGACTGACTATTGTTGACTGACAGGTAAGTAGGCAGTGCTTCACTATTGTTGATTGACAGGTAAGTAGGCGATGCTTCACTATTGTTGACTGACAGGTAAGTAGGCGGCGCTTCACTATTGTTGACTGACAGGTAAGTAGGCGGCGCTTCACTATTGTTGACTGACAGGTAAGTAGGCGGCGCTTCACTATTGTTGACTGACAGGTAAGTAGGCGGCGCTTCACTATTGTTGACTGACAGGTAAGTAGGCGGCGCTTCACTATTGTTGACTGACAGGTAAGTAGGCGGCGCTTCACTATTGTTGACTGACAGGTAAGTAGGCGGCGCTTCACTATTGTTGACTGACAGGTAAGTAGGCGGCGCTTCACTATTGTTGACTGACAGGTAAGTAGGCGGCGCTTCACTATTGTTGACTGACAGGTAAGTAGGCGGCGCTTCACTATTGTTGACTGACAGGTAAGTAGGCGGCGCTTCACTATTGTTGACTGACAGGTAAGTAGGCGGCGCTTCACTATTGTTGACTGACAGGTAAGTAGGCGGCGCTTCACTATTGTTGACTGACAGGTAAGTAGGCGGCGCTTCACTATTGTTGATTGACAGGTAAGTAGGTGGTGCTTCACTATTGTTGACTGACAGGTAAGTAGGCGGTTCTTCACTATTGTTGATTGACAGGAAAGCAGGCGGTCCAGGACGCATCAGAATCGATTAGTGTTTAAATCACTAGCACAGTGTGCTCAAAAATAGTTTTGATCACCTTAAAATGTGGTTTAAAAGCATTCTGGACCATGGTATTTTGCATTGTCCCATTTCAAACACATCATACAAAATTGATGTTAATAACTAAGTGCAAACAGGGCAAGAGACATTATGAGGTTGAAATGTGGATTTCTGCAATGAAGAAAAACAAAATATTTTCTTTTAGGAAACTATAGTGAAGACATTTAATATGAAAATACAGTAGCAGTGTTATATTAGTTTTATATATATATATATATATATATATACTTATAAATA